GGCAGGAGCAGGGTAGGGGGATGCAGAGTGCCGGGAAACGTGTGGCAGCCCAGAAAAATGGTGTTTCCCATGCCAACAGGCTGCTCTGCTTCCCCCCGCTGCTCCTCCTCCTCCTCCTCCCCCTCAGGTGCTGCCTGCTCACTGGAGCACTCCTTTCCCACCAAGCGTCCCTGGCAGATGCCATTTCCAACCTCTCACCCCTCCCTGCTCTTCGCTGATGAAGACATTCAGTGCAGCGGCTGCTGCCGCTGGTCCCTGCAGCTCCTCACTCCTCCCCTGCTTCCTGCACGGGGTCCGTCCCCATCATGTCCCCCAGCTCTCTGTGGGATCACCGTGGCCCCACTTTGGGGGTAAGCACCCACCAGCAGCTCCTGGCATCCCCACGGCGGGCAGGGCTGGTCCCTGCTGGGGCTCCCTGACCCCCCTGCCCCTCAGCCAGCAGCTCTGCACAGCGCTGGGCACTGCTTTGTATGGATGGCACAGCTTTTGGGGTAATGAAATATTTACAGGTCAGTGGTTTTGTGAGAAATGACAGGGATCAGTCAATTCCTTTTCAGGGAGTAATTTTCTTCCCCTTCATGGCCTCTGTTCCGTGTTGACAGTCATTAGCATGAGCGAGGGCCGGATCGAAGGGGAGCGCTGCATCTGTCATGCAGATGAGCTCTGCTGGGCACGGAGAAGCCCAGCAGCCTGGGGGCAACCTTGGGCCGTGCCAGGACCCTCCTGCCTCCACTGGGGCATTTCTTGAATCCGTCTCTGCTGCTCAGCACAGTTTCCACTCGCCCTGCTCCAGGGCAGTGGCTGTAAGGGCTGATGGCCCCATCAGTCTCCCTGGATGCTGCTCGCTCCAGTGTCCTGCTGGTGGGCACAGCGGGTCCCCCACAGGAGACGTTTGGAATTGCTGAGCACCCTTCCCTGTGCTCAGCAGTGACCTCAGGCTCCCTCATGATGAAGCAAGGGTGTGCCCTGGCATTAGCAAGCAGGCAGGAGCCATTCCAGGTCACAGCAAAGTGGTTTCTGCCTGCCCTGCCCTGCCTGCACTCCTTACTGCCCTGCCTGCAGAATAGGCTTTGTGAGGCTCTGCAGCTGGCAGGAGCACGGGGGGCTCTGTGGATGCTGTGGAGCTGTGGGCCCCTCTTTCCCCCTGCAGCAGGTGCCTGGCTCCCAGTGGGAGGAGCAGGACAGCCACAGGCAGAGGGGACTGCTGTCAGGGCGGGGAGTGCGTAGTGACAGGGCTGTCTTCACTCTCCCCACATGTGGCTTCACCCAGCTGTGCGTGTGCCGTGACCTAATAGTGCTGTGACCCGGCAGGGTCAGCTACGACTGGGCAGCACCATGCCATGACTGAGCAGTGCCATGACTGGGCAGCGCCATGCCATGACTGGGCAGTGCCATGACTGGGCAGTGCTATTCTGTGACTGGGCATGCCATGCTATGACCATGCCATGCCATGACTGGGCAGCGCCATGCCGTGACTGGGCAGTGCTATTCTGTGACTGGGCATGCCATGCTGTGACCAGGCAGTGCCATGCTATGACTGGGCAGTGTCATGCCATCATTGGGCAGTGCCATGCCATGGTTGAGCAGTGCTATTCTGTGACCATGCAGTGCCGTGCTGTCACCAGGCAGTGCCATGCCATGACCAGGCAGTGCCATGCCATGGTGGGGCAGTGCCATGCCGTGACCAGGCAGTGCCATGCCATGACCAGGCAGTGCCATGCTGTCACCAGTCAGTGCCATGCCATGGTGGGGCAGTGCCATGCCGTGACCAGGCAGTGCCATGCCGTCACCAGGCAGTGCCATGCTGTCACCAGGCTGTGTTGTGCTGTGCCACCCCTGCAGCACCAGCCCCGTGCAGCGCAGGCAGGGCACAGCCGCGGGCAGAGTCGGCTGGTGGGAGTTGCCCTGGGCTGGGGATGGGGCTGGGGTCAGGCCGAGGCAGCAGGATGGCCGTGAGGCTGGCAGGAAGCTGGCACGTCGGTGGCAGCAGCAGGGATGGGTGCTGGTGAGCAGCATCAGCCCAGCCCTCCTGCGTGGCACTGTCACGCCGTGCTGGCAGCACGCTGTCACGGCCGAGGTTGGTGGCCCTGTGCAGGTGCTGGTGGCTGGCAGCTGCCTCATCCTTAGCGCAGGGCTCTGCACTCAGGTGACTGCTCTGACCCGTCCTCTGCGTCCGGGGGCTCCTGGCACGTTATTTTCTTCAAAAGGAACAAATGTGGGAAACGGCGGCGTCAGCCCCGAGCTGACAGGCACAATCACCAAAATGCGGTGTCGGCAGGAACTGGCCCCACGCGCTAAATGACTTGAAAGGAAATGGCCTGGATTGTGCTGAGGAGGCAGAGTGTGGGGGGAGGAAGCAAGTGGAGCAAACAAAAAAACTTCATTAATTAAAGAAACTCGTTAATGAGGGACATTTAATCAGCTGAAGATGATATCTACCCCCTGCCTGCTGCGGCAGCCACTGCGCAGGGCTGGTGGTGCAAGACTGAGCCGTGGGCAGGGCAGGGGACACTGCACGGGGACAGGGGCAGGGGACACGGGGCAGAGGACACTGCACGGGGACAGGGGCAGGGGACACGGGGCAGAGGACACTGCAGGGGGACGCTGCACAGGGGACACCAGGCAGGGGACTTGGGCTCCCTGTCTCAGCCTCTCCACTGCCATCCCTGGGGCAGTGGTGCTTCAGCACAGGGCCGTGCCACAGTCCTGCTGGTACCTGCCCCAGCAGGTGGGCAGCAGAGGTGCTGGGTACAGCTCTTGCCCCCTGTGCTGCCAGCTTTGCTCCAGGCTCAGGCACTGAACTGATCTGTCTCATTTTGAACGAGGCCAAGGGCTGTAAAGGACCAGAATTTCTTTTACTGCAAGTGTCAAAAGCAACGTGTGGGAGCGTCCCTGTGCCCCCAGGAGGGCTCGGTGCTGGCAGAGCAAGGGGTGTCTCTCAGAGCCCCTGTCCCTGGCACCCACAGGCCAGCATTGTGCCACAGGCTCCCTGCATGGCCAGGCACCCCAAGCTGGGGCTCTCGTGGGCTGTAGAGATGCATCCCCAGGGACCCCCTGGGTGCTCAGTGCAGGGGGACACCCCAGAAGGGGCTCCAGCCACCTCATGGGAGGAACAGAGGGACCCTCAGTGCCTGGGGCTGCCCTGGGATGGGGCTTTCCAATGCTGTGGGTAGCAAGGGGTGTGGAACCGAGTAGTGTGATGTCCACGGGCAGCACACAGCCAAACCTGCCAGTGTTCCCTTCCCCATGGAACCCTCATCCACAGCAGCCAAGAGTGAGCAGCTCTGTCCCAGTGGGGTGGCCAGGCCCTGGGAGCAGACAGGGGGCCCTGGAAGCCATGGATCTGTGTCTGCAGCACCCGCAGCTCCAGCACCATGAGCAGCAACCAGGGGAACCTAATGGTCCCTGAATGAAATACTAACCAGGTGACGGGCACTGTGACAGTCCTGATTAATAACTGACACAGACCTGGCTGTTGGGACGGGCTGACGAGGGGCCGGGAGGGCCCAAGACCTGGCAGGTGGGGACAGTCCCTGCTGACATCCCGGTCCCTGCGTGTTGGTGGCTGTAGTGACAGCAAGGCTGTGTCCAGCGCAGAGCAGGCAGCGGGGTGCGGGCTGCTCCTGGTTCTGCCCGCGCAGGCAGGGCGGGATGGGCACAGGGCGCCAGGGATCAGGGGGGAGGGATGGGCAGCAGCACTGGCAGAGTGACACGATGCCTGTCGGTGTGTGCCAGTCCCTGGAGGAGAGCTGAGTGCCGAGACCCAGGCCAGCTCGGGATGGAGCCTCGGGCCTGCCAGGTGGAGTGAGCACCTGGGGCGTGGGCAGGAGTGGCGTGGGCAGTTCCATGGGCTGGGCTCCTGCAGCCTGACAGCCCGGCCCACGCAGGCAGGTGCATGGGGCTGGCGCGGCCCGAGCAGCTGAGTCAGCGCGGGCAGGCGCTGCTGCTGCTGCTGCTGCTGCTGCCGCTGCCGATGACTTGCAGATCTGAGCGGGGCTATTCCCGCTGGGTCTCCGTGTGTCCCCGCTGCGGCTCTGCTGCCACCCTCACAGGCTGGGGACAGCAGCTGCCAGCGCACCCCCCTGCCGCCCCCACCATCCTTCCCCGACATAAATTGGTGACACACACACGCAGTTAAGGAGCTTGTCTCTGCGGGCCGAGCCGCAGATGGATTTCACAGGCCAGAGGCTGCTGCAGCGCGCTGTAAAGCATCCAGGGGGCTGCGGGCACTGCCCCCCACGGCCCTGGCACTGCCTCGGGGGCTGCGGCTGTGCCGGCCGCAGGTGCAGCGCACACCTGTGCGAGGGGTGGCCAAGGTGTGCTGGGCTGTGAAGGTGGGCAGTAGCTGGATGGGTGGGTGTGCAGAGCAGGCGCTGCCTGGGAGCCCCACGCTGCCCTCTCAGCCCCACACGAACCCCAGCAGCCCCTGGCCCTTGGTGTGGGTGCAGCTCGTCCCGTTTGACCAAGGCGGCCAAACCAACTGCGTTAGAGCAAAGGGCCTAATTAAATATTTAGCAGCTAATTGATCCCTGTCTGGTGTTTGCCAAGGGGCCATCAGCATCCTTCCCTGACAGCCCTCCCAGCCTGCCCAGCCCGTGCTGGTGCTGTGCAGCTCCCAGCATGATGCTGCTGGCCGGGCTCTGCTTTGCCCTGTGCTGGGCTCCAAAATGGGGCCTGGGCAGGTCTCCCTCGCCAAGGAGAGGGATGTGCCAGCTTCAGGAGTTAAACCCCACGTGGGGGCCTCCGTCCTTCTACCCAAGCCCAGCACAATGGGCAGGCAGGGCATGGGAGCGGGAGAGGATGGGGCTCAGCTGCTGGCAACGTGACCCCAAAGCCAGCACAGCACAGAGACAGCCCAGGGTGTGAGGGAGACACCAAAGGCTGGGGGGCAGTGGGGCGGGTGGGGCTGGCTCTGGCCGTGGAGATCAGAACCCCGTCCCAGGGCAGGCGGCAGCCCAGCTGTGCCGGCACTGAGGGGCACGGTGCCGCTCTCTCGGCAGGGTAACCAGGACGCCACGGCCCCGCCGGACGCGATGGCTCAGCCCTACCCCCCCGCCCAGTACCCCCCGCCCCCCCAGAACGGCATCCCCGCAGAGTACGCGCCGCCACACCCGCACCCCACGCAGGACTACTCGGGGCAGAGCTCGGTACCGGAGCACGCCATGACCCTCTACACACCAGCACAGAGCCACCCCGAGCAGCCGGGCAGCGACGCCAGCACACAGTCCATAGCAGGGACACAGACGGTACCGGTAAGGCCGTGCTGGGGCTGCGGTGGGCTCGGGGCAGTGCCAGAGGCACGGGGGGTGCTGGGCAGTGCTGCTGCGGGGTCCAGGGCAGTGCCAGAGGCACGGGGGGTGCTGGGCAGTGCTGCTGCGGGGTCCAGGGCAGTGCCAGAGGCACGGGGGGTGCTGGGCAGTGCTGCTGCAGGGTCCAGGGCAGTGCCAGAGCTGCCAGGAGGGTCCTGGGGCAGTGGTGCTGCCTGGCCAATGTCCCACAGGGTACCAGGCTGGGTGTTCCTGCCCCCATGACTCCCCCTCAGACCCCCCCACCATTTCTCATCTCTCGTAATCCACTTGCTTGGCTCTGCTCTAGGAGATGGTGGCAATTACAGCGCTGGAATGCAGCACCAGGAAGGTGCTGAGCTCTGCACTTTCCAGTCCTTCCACACGGTCCCGAGTGCAGCGTCTGCACCCCCACCCCGAGCATCCCCATAGCCCCAGCAGCATCCCCTGGCTCACCAGGAGGGAGGGACACCCATGGGGTACTGCCAGAACCTGGGGACCACAGGGTCCCTGGTGTCCCTGGGGACGGGCAGGGCCAAGCACAGGGCAGGGGGACATTCCCGCTGGGGACAGGGGGCTGGCACGGCCAGGGGCTGATGGCAGCCGTGCCTCCCACAGCAGACAGACGAGGCGGCACAGACAGACAGCCAGCAGCTACACTCCTCAGACAACACAGACAAGCAGCAGCCCAAGAGGTTACACGTCTCCAACATTCCCTTTCGATTCCGGGACCCCGACCTGCGGCAAATGTTTGGGGTGAGTACAGATCCACCCAGCCATCACATCCCTGCCCCGTGGCACCACTGGGACCTTGGCACTGTCACCTCCCAAGGGACATCCTGCCCAGCCCCTGGGTGTGGAGCAGGAGGTGACACAGAGCCCTTGTCCCACTCCACTGTCCCCTTCCCAGCCCTCGTTTGGACTCAGAGCAGTGTTAATTAATGAAATTTGGGATGACACTTCCCAAGTCCTGTCAGAGTGGGAGCCATGGGAGGGACAAGGGCATGACCCTTGCATGACCCTGGGGGTGCCCAGGTCTGGCCCCCAAGGCAGCCCTATGCCCATCCCTGGCACAGAGCCCCTTGCCAGCAGCTCTGGGTGCGAGGCCAGGGGCTTTGCAGGCACTCACCCCTCTGTTCTCTCCACTTGCAGCAATTCGGGAAAATTCTGGACGTGGAGATCATTTTCAATGAGCGGGGCTCCAAGGTGGGTGATGCCCATGGCCAGCACCATACAGCGAGTCCTGGGGAGGGTGCCAGTGGAGCCAGGTTGCCCAGCAGTGCTGTAACCTGCTTTCCCCTCGTCTCCTGTCCCATGGGACCCTGGCATGCAGTGCCCCATCGGGGCAGCCCCGGCGCCAACTCGGGAGGTCGTGCGGGTCCCGGTACCCAGCACTGGAGGGAGGAGAGGGCTTGCTGTGTCCCACCACGGGCAGCTCATGTCCCTCTGTGTCTGGATGTCTCTGTTGTATCTTCCCCGCTTTCTGTGCCCCTCTCCCAGACTCTTCTCCCAGCTCGTGGGCGGTTCTGGGGCCTCAGCCGGGACCCCCGGCCCCTGCAGAGACCCCAGTCTGGGCTCTTCATCTCTGCACTGTGGCAGCCTCACCTCCTGCGCCAGCTCTCCTGATTCACCCCCTCTCTCTCTCTGTCCCCACACCCTCTCTCTGTCTCTCTCTGTCTCTTTCTTTCTCCTTTTCTCCTCTGCTCACAGGGTTTTGGGTTTGTAACTTTTGAAACTAGCACAGATGCCGACCGGGCACGGGAGAAGCTGAATGGCACCATCGTAGAGGGCCGGAAGATTGAGGTGCTCAGATAAGTGTGCTAGTGCCGTGCCATGCCTGCGTGTGCGTGTCCCCTGCCCGGGCTGTGGGGCGCTTGGGGCAGCTCCTGGTGCCCTGGGGAGCTGTGCCCGGCGCGTGCATGTGTCCCTGAATGTGGCACGGGAGCATGCGTGTCGGCTGCGGGAAGGTCGTCGCTTGGCACGAGGAGTGTCTGGCCCCAGAGGAACCTCCCGGGTGCACGGAGAGCCGGGGTGTCAGCTGGGGCTGCATTCTGCCTGCTACAGACAAGTCTGGCAGACCCCCTTGCCCACAGCAGCCACCCCAGGCTCTGCAGGGAGCTCTGGGGCTCTGCCCCGCATGCCACCCCCCCTGCTCTGTGCTGGGAGGGAGGATCCACCCGCAGCTCCACATCTGCAGTACCCAGCAGCTGCCCAGCCCCAGAGGCTTTGATTTCTCCAAGCTTAGCACAGGGATCAGGCTCTGCCCATTTGCCAGCAGCTCCCCGCTGGTGTCTGATGAGTGGTGGGGAACAGGGTGGCACATGGCAGAAGGAGTGGGACAAAATGTCCCCAGCAGTGCTGACACCACAAAGGGAGCCTGGCAGGGCACAGCAATGCCCCATGGACAAGGAAAACATCATCAAAAAAAATTGGGCAGGAGCTCATGGGCAGCATGTCGGGGCTCAGCCTGGGCATGGCACTGCAGCTCTCGGGGCACCAGCCAGCAGCCTGAGCCATGCTCACAGCTGGAGCATGGAGGCCTGGGCTGGCTGGAGGCATGGGCAGGTCTGTGTACAGCGGGGTGCTGCAGGCAGAGCCTTGTCTCGTGTCCCTGGTGCAGCTGGCATCCTTTGCTCCGGCCCCCGAAGCAGCGGCAGCAGGCCCTGGACCCCAGCCTCGCCAGCTGCAGTCCCTCAGGCTCTGAGCCCCTGTCCCTCTCTCTGCAGGTGAACAACGCCACGGCCCGTGTCATGACCAACAAGAAGGTGGCCAACCCCTACACCAATGGTAAGGGCAGTGTCCAGAGAGCAGGGCTGCAGCAGGCAGGGGCACCCCCGGGCACCAGCACTGTCTGGCTGCCGGGGAGCTCTGGCAGTGAATGCCCGCCACGCTGCCAGCAAATGGGAGAGCAACTGCTGCTGCCCAGTGCAGGAGGGCAGCCCCCGCGCCCTCCTCCTGCCTGGGATGGGGCTGTTGCCCCTCAGAGCACCATGCAGAGTGCCCTGTCCTTACTGGCTCTCCCTGCCCACAGGCTGGAAGCTGAACCCAGTGGTGGGAGCAGTCTACGGCCCCGAATTCTACGCAGGTAACGTCAGGCTGCAGCAGTACCCGCTGCAGGTTCCCCCCAGACGGCAGCTCTGCCCTGTGTCTGCCACTGCTCTGTGCAGTGAGCAGCCCCTGGCCCCTCTCCCTGTCCTTTACACCTGCCTGCACAGTTCATCCTATCCTATCCTATCCTATCCTATCCTATCCTATCCTATCCTATCCTATCCTATCCTATCCTATCCTATCCTATCCTATCCTACCCTACCCTACCCTATCCTATCCTATCTTGTCCTATCCTGTCCTGTCCTGTCCTGTCCTATCCTATCCTATCCTATCCTATCCTATCCTATCCTATCCTATCCTATCCTATCCTATCCTATCCTATCCTATCCTATCCTATCCTATCCTATCCTATCCTATCCTATCCTATCCTATCCTATCCTGTCCTGTCCTGTCCTGTCCCGTCCCGTCCCGTCCCGTCCCATCCCATCCCATCCCATCCCCTTGCCCAGCCTCCCCACGGGGCCATGTCCCTGCCAGCCTGAGGGCACAGGGTGGGCTGTGCCACAGGTGCCCCGTGGGGGCTGTGTGGCGCTGCCGTGCAAAGCCCTCAGGTGTCCCCTCCTCCTGCAGTAACGGGGTTCCCGTACCCCGCCACGGGGACGGCCGTGGCCTACCGAGGGGCGCACCTCCGGGGCCGGGGCCGCGCCGTCTACAACACCTTCCGCGCCGCGCCGCCGCCGCCGCCCATCCCCACCTACGGCGCGTGAGTACCGGGGGGCTGCTGGGGGGCTTCTGCTGCCACAGCGCTCTGAGACTGTGCGGGCAGCACCGGGCTCGTCAGGAACAGGCTGCAGCTCCTGCAGCAGCTGCCTGGCCACAGGCTCTGTGCCAGCCTCACTCTGCTGCCCTCGGGTGACCCACACGCTCGGCAGCCTCCTGCCCACCAAGGCACAGGATGTTATTCCAGCCAGGAATGGTTGGTTTAGTGGAAACTCTGTCCCAGCACATGTGGCTGGGATGGCCTCGGTCACAGACACAGCCATGGCCATCTTGAGGGTGCTTGGCTGCTCCCAGCAGAGATGCTGCCCTGGGATCCTCCTCTGGCACGCCCTGCCCTTGGCTGTGCCCTCTGCATATGCCCATGTCCCCAGAATCCCAGCCCAGAGGTGCCTTTGGGACCCGGACAGCCAGCCCTTGCCATGAGCCGTGGGGCTGAGGCAGCTTCCCCCAGTCACTGCCCTCACCCCGCTCCCCTCGTCCAGGGGCGCTTGCCGGGCTCTGATGCCTCCGCCTCATTTCCAGGGTCGTCTACCAGGATGGCTTCTACGGAGCTGAGATCTACGTAAGTGACACTGCCCAGGGCTGGGCTGTGACAGGGACCCCATGCCAGCACAGGGGGCAGGCGGTGTCACATGGGTCCCTGGTGGGCTCTGCGCCCCCTCCAAACCCCTTCCCCTGGGTGGCAGCAAGATCACGAGCACAGCACAGCTTCTCCAGAGCAGTCTGGGTGGCACACACCACGCAGGATCCTGTGCCCAATCCTGTGCCCCTGCCAGCCCCCTTGCAGGGCTGGTGCCACGTGGGATTTACGGTTCCTCAGTTCCTTACACCCGTGTTTAACCTCCATGTCTGAGGAGCCAGCGGCGATATTTCAGGCGGGCACTGAAGGATTTATCTAACGTGACACCTCATTAAGGCGAGCGGGGAGGTAACAGTCTCTTCTCTGGAAATTTAATTTTTTAAGGTTAATGTTTGTGAAAGCCCCTGGGGAATGGTAATGAGGCTGATGCGTGCCCAGTGGCACTGGCACCACCCCCTGTGGGCCCCACACTTCTCCGTGCAGTGCCATGGGGCACCCAGCTGCCCCAACCCCACCTCCCCAGTGGGTGCAGCCCCTTGACCAGTCTCTCTCCCTGCAGGGGGGCTATGCTGCCTACAGGTACGCCCAGCCCGCAGCAGCAGCGGCCGCATACAGCGACAGGTGAGCACCGGGCACGGCACCCAGGGGAGCCCCGTGTCACCCCCAGCTCCTGGGTGCTGTGGGACACGACAGAGTCAGGCACGGGGAGGGTGTCCTGCAGACAGGGATATCTTGCTGCCCTCAGGGCTAGGCTGGAAAGGGTTGGCACCACTGCAGGGGGAGCAGGGAGGTCCGGGGGGCTCCCAGGTGCAGCTGGGAGGGAGGGAGGGCTCAGAGGGGAGACAGGAGCCCAGCTGTTGTCACTAACACCTGCCACTGTTTGCTCCTAGCTATGGCAGAGTGTACGCAGCAGCAGACCCCTACCACCACACCATCGGCCCCGCCGCCACATACAGCATTGGCACCATGGTAAGAGCAGCCCCTCGGCCTTCCTCTGCTTCCCGGGGGGCTGCAGGCAGCCCAGGGAGGGTCTGGCACGGTGGCCGTGGGGCCTGTGGGGCACAGGGCAGGGCCGGGGGCTGTGGGAGGGGTGTGGGAATGGCGCAGCCCCTGCCTGGCTCTGTCTGCAGGAGAGGAAACCCTCACCCCACCTTGCCCCTCCTTCCCCTCACACCCCGCACAGTCCTGCCCACACATGCCACTTCCCAGGGGCCTGGCTGTCCCCCACCGGCTGCCTGGGCAGGCTCCAGGACTCCTCTGTCATCCCAGTGCAGGACAGTGTCCCCAGGGCCCCGCGTGCAGCCACACACGGGGGGCACCGCAGCCCCTCACACACCACAGCTCTTGGCCAGCTCTGACAGCATCAAAGATGAAAAATCGCACTCACGGCTGGGATCACAAAGCCAACCTGCCTTTTTCTGCCTTTTTTTACTCCCTGGGCAGCTGCTAGCGAGGGGCCAGGGGCACTACATCCTAGGGGTTTTCAGCTGAGTGCCACAGCAGGGATGGGGCAGCTCCTTGGCAGGCATGGCGCAGCAGTGCCACGCTGGAGGCATAGGGCAGCCCCTGCCCCCAGGGCAGTGCCCATGGCCACCACAGAGCCCGGGCAGCACTGGGCACCCTGGCCCTGCCTGCCCCTCACATCCCAAGGACAGCAGCGATTTGGTGTCATTTGAAAGAGGAGGAAAAAACAAAAGAAGAAAAAAAAAAAGGGAAGATCTAGGCTTTGGCTATCTGAATACTGATTGGCTTTTTTTTTTCATCTTTGATGTTGCAGGCTAGTCTATACCGAGGAGGGTACAGCCGCTTCACTCCCTACTAGCAAGACAGACCCAGCCCCCCCACCACTGCCCCCGATGCTCACTAGCACCAAACCAAACCAGGCAGACAGAGCCGAGGCCGAGCCTGCGGAGGAGCCGCGGGTGCTGCCCGGGTGGCCGGGGCTGGCGCCGGGCTCTGTGGGGCCGCAGCACCCCACACCCATAGGGTTACCTCAGCCGCTCCGTCCTGCCGCCCGCCCGCCTCTCCGGCACCATCCAGTGGGGCCAGCCCTCGCCCCAGCAGCGCCCCGCGCCCACAGCCGGGCTGCCGGGTCCCCCCGCTGCCCTGGCCGGGCTGCACAGGGCTCGTCCCCCCGCGGATGTGCTCAGCCTGCAGGGATGCTCGCTCCGCAGGCGCTGGGGCTCGGCGGGACAGCAGCCCCCCGAGCAGCCCCTCTGCCCCCATAGGAGAGAGAGGAGCCAGCTGGGCTTGCTGCCAGCTGGGGGGCCTGAGGCTGGGGTGGGTTTGGGATTCAGGGCAGCCCGGCGGGCAGGAGCGCGGGGCTGGGTGTGATGGGCTGCGCTGGGACGGTGCCTGTGTGCCCCCGGCCACCAGCTCGGCCTGAGTGCTTCAGCGAAAGACCTGCCTCTCTTGTTTCTGTTGTAGTGAACCAGTGGCTGTTTCCTTCTGGGACCAGGAAGGGCAAAAATATACACACACACCCCCACCCCCAAAAAAAAAAAAAAAAAAAAAAAGAACCCCAATATATAAAAATTAAAAGCAAAGCAACGGGGGGAAAAAAAGGAAAAAAAAGAAAAAACGAACAAAAAAAAGAGAAACCAAGGCAAGCGGCAGCAGCCAAGTGAGTCCCAACTGTCCACACACACCGAGTGAGCGAGTCCCAGAGGAGCCGCGGCAAGCACCGGCGGTCGGATGCGCCGGAGGGACCCCCAGCGCCCCGGCCCCAGAGCCCAGCAGGGAGGGAGCCGGTGCAGGCAGGCGTGAGGGTCCGCGGGGTCCGGGGGCCCTCCCCGCCCAGGTCAGGGCCTGGGCGCCACGTCTTCCTTCCCCTGGTGCAGCAGCGCTGGGGGTGCCGGCAGAGCGCTGCGCCCTGCCCGGCTCGTGGGACCGGGTGACAGGGTGGGGACCCGGCTTGGTGCCACCCGAGCCCCGGCGCTGGCGGCCATCAGCGTGTCGGGTGTGCGGGGCCTCAGCTCCAGCGCGGAACTGGGGCGGCGGCGCGGATGCGGTGCTGAGGTATTGCAGAGGACGACCCTCTGCCTTTTAAAGGGAATTTTTGTTAAGAGGAGCTTGCAACTCGCTTGTGACCCCTTCCCCTTCTTCCTCCCTCCTTCCCTGACGCCCACGCTCCCGCCCTGCCTGGACCAGCCCTGACCAAAGCTGTGCCAGGCGCTGCCCCAGTCCCACTCCCGCTTGCCCTGCGGCACGGGACGCGCTCATGAGCACCCGTCCCTGCCTGAGGCAGCGGGATGTCCCCAGCCCTGGGTGCGGGGTCTCGGCCACTGCATCACCCACGAGGGACCCGCCCAAGCCGCGAGGCTGGGCTGCAGCCGCCGGCGCGCTGGGCACGGTGCCCAGTGGCGCGGGGCACTGCGGAGCCCATCCCGGGGTGCAGCGCCGTCCCGCGCCCTTCTGGCTCTGCCACTCCTCAAACCTCACTTTATAGTCTGCAGACGCCCCCGACGCCCCAGCGATGAGCTCCCCCTTTTCTATTCCCGGTGTACATAGCCCCGGCCCCGCTCCCCTGTACAAAGCTCCGTCCATCGCTGTACTGGCTTCTCCCTTACAGCACCCCTGCGCCGCCCCGGCGTGCGGGCTGGCGCCGGCCCATCCTGTATGCTTAAAAGTGTGACCATTCTAATAAACAGTATTATTATTATTATTATTATTATTATTATTATTATTACAATGATTATTATTATTATTGAAATTATTAATAAAGATTTCTTTCTTCAACCAGGGCGACTCAGGTTTTGACTGGTTGCGCGGGGCTGTGGCTGCTACAGATCTGGCTGGGCAGGGGGCCACAGCCTGTGGACAAATGGGGAACCCTTGGGGCCCCCAGCCTCACCATGGTGAGGGAGCAGGGTGCTGCATGAAGAGCCCTCTCCTGGCTGGGCCTAGCCCTTCGTTCTTCAGGCCATCAGGTAATATGTTCCTGCTCCGTCTCAGGAGCAGCAGCTCCACTGCTGGCATTGGTGTCCCTGGCAGAGCCTGCATTGTTTGGGGACAGGGCTTGGGACCCCACTGCAGGAGTGCTCGGCTGCTCCTGCCTGCTAATTGCTTGCTCACCAGACTGTGAGAAAATAATTGCTGCTATAAATTTTCTCTCCTCCTCACAAGATGCTCTGGGGAGGCAGTGTAGGCTGGTGGCACTGGGCTGGGTCCACGTTAATGAGCACAGCGGTCACCCAGGCTGGGCTGCTGCAGAGCCCGTGCTGGCAGCTCCCCACCAGGCTGAGCCCTGAGGGGACTGCGTGCCTTGGGGTCTTACGGCCAGTATACACAGCCTGTGGGCAGCAGCCTGAGACAGTGAGGGCTGCAGGAGCTGGTGGGGTTCTCAGGGCAGGTGCCCCAGTCTGGGGTCACACATGTTGGGGATCCTGGTCAGCACCCAGTGGGCCCCTGCAGTGAGGGCTGAGACAACCACAGGGGTGGGAGGAAAGGGACTCACCAGCCCCAGGTAATGAAATGCAGCCTCCCTGTGTCCCCACCACAGCCCACCCACCACATGGAGGAGACACGGCACGGGCTGCACCACAGTTGCTTTAATGCCCATCTGAGCTGGTGCCACTGCCTGGTGCGGAATAGACCAGCACGAGGCGGCCCCAGAGCTCGGGGTCCACAGGCAGCTCATCCCGCAGAACCGGCTCCACCAGCAGCTCCAGCCGGCAGGACTGTGTGGGCGCCGGCCGCGGCACGGCCAGCCCCACGACGCGGAAGAGGCAGCCCTGCGCCAGCCCCAGCACCTGCGGCGCCGTCTGGCCCAGGCGGCACCGGGCGCCCTGGCTCAGGACACGGAACCATCTGGCACGGCCAGGCGGGAAGGACCAGCGCAGGGTGAGGCTGAGCGAGAGCTGCTCGGGCTCGGGGCCCTCCTGCCACCAGAGCTGCGAGGCCATCACGCTGTGCACCTGCGGCGGGGAGGCCGCCACGCTGGCCGTGTCCAGCACCTGCGAGGGAACCGCAGCACCGTCAGGGTCAGGGCAGGCATCCCCACCTTCCCAGAACAAGGGGGGCACGGGCAGGTGTCTCCACCAGGCAGGCACTCACCCGCACCTCCCCGAGGAGGCAGGTGAAGGATGTCTCCTGCATGCTGGGCTGCTGGCGGGACACAATCAGGGACAGGTCTCGTAGGCTGCAGTCCTGCAGCTCCAGCTCATAGCACCTGAGAGGGAAGAGGCAGAAAAAATGGTACCAGGGAGCCCTGGCGTCCCGTGCCTGCCTGTGGACACAGGATGCAGGCAGGGCACTCACCGGCTGGTCCAGCCATGGGAGCCACGGTGGCAGGCGGCGAGCAGCTTGGCGAGGCCGGGCGGCGGTGCCGGGAGGAACCGGGGGTGGTACCGGCCATTGGGCTCTGCCAGAGGGAGCCAGGTCAGGGGTGAGGGACTGCAGCAGGTGCTCACTGCAGAGAGCACGGGGGGACAGGATCCTCACCGGGCAGGGAGGTGGGGTTGCCCTCGAAGCACATCCCCGAGTCCCAGGTGGTGACCTCCAGTGCCACTGTGAAGTCATCGGGCTGTGGCCCCTCCAGCTTGTAGAGCAGGGTCAGGAAGACCTTGGGAGGGGCTGGCATCTGCAAAGAGAAGAGGCTGATGACCCCAAATCCACCCAGAGAGAGACAGAGACAGAGAGAGAGAGAGACAAAAAGAAGGTGCATAGTGTTAGGTGTGCTGTGCAGTGTGGGCAGAGCCTGGGCACACACGCCACCAGGCCCGGGGCCACACAGTTCAGGCCATGCAGGCCATGTTAGGCTGACATGGTGCCAGCCCAGCGCTGAGGAGGGGTGAAGGGCTTTTCCCCAACTCACCGGACAGCCACGCGCTCCTCGCCGGGGGGAATGATCCCCTGCAGCTGCAGGGAGCTGCCCCCACACCAGGCATCCTGCAGGCAGCAGCCGGTGCTCAGTGTGCCCTGCCGTTCTGGGTACAGTGGCTGGATGTCCTGCGCACTCAGATCATACCAGGGCCCAGACTCTTCATCCTACAGCACAGGAAGAGCTGAGCTGGGGGAGCCAAGAGCAGGGACCTCCCTGCCCAGCCCAGCCCAGTCTGACCAGAGCAGAGCTGTCACCCTGCACCCACCTTCCCGTCCAGGAACGTGCTGGTGCCCATGCCCAGGCTGAAGGAGGTGGTCAGGGGCAGTGTGCAAATGCTGTGCGTGGGCAGGTACTCTGCCAGCGAGCCCCAGAACCTGGAGGCAAAGATGGGTGTCAGGGCAGAGACCCCTGTGACGGTCACTGCCCAGCACAGCCTCAGGTATCACCTCAGCTGGGGCAGAAAGGGGCCAGCTGCTCCTGGCTAGCAGCCATGGTGTTCTGACAGCCACAGTGTCCCTGTAGCTGTGTCCCACCACCCCACAGCCTTCCTGAGCCAGGGCACTCCTAGCCCAGTTCCTCCCCCAACACCCTCCCCGCTGAGCTGCCCTCACCTGTTCTCGTTCTGCAGGAAGTTTTCCTTGCCCAGGTGCTCATAGACCCAGCCAGGAGCGAAGATGGCTGCAGAGAGGCCAAACTGGCGGATCAGGCGCAGGGACTGCGGAAACGAGCAGTGAGCAGCATGGGCCAGGCCAGGGAGTCACCTTGTCCCCTGTCCTGTCCCTGCTACCCCCAGGTTCCACTGGCCCCATGGTGGGGCAGGACACCAGAGGGATGTGCTGCAGCATCTCCCTCTCCAGGGATGGCAGCACTGGGATCTTTTCATGCATGGCCAGCACTCTGGGATCCCTCACTCCTCACCTGTTCATCCCCAGCTTAGCAGCCCAACACAGCACAGCCCAGCAGGGCCGCAGTGGGAGCTCAGAGCCCTGCACTGGGAGAGGTCAGGGTCACACTCTGGTCCAGCCCTGTCACACACACCTTGTCAGTGTCGAAGCCACCACCAATCACATCCCCACGGCCAAAGACATCAACGCCGACATAGACATCGTTTAGGCGCGGACCAGCCAGCCTCTGCGTGCGCTCCAGCTGCTCCTCCTTCCAGTTGTAGTTGGTGAACAGCCCGTCACAGGCATCAAAGAACATCCTGGGGACAATGGTCACAGTGGCAGACGCTGTGGTCACACGCGGCCTCATCAAGGGCTGTGCAGGTTGTGCCTGACTGGTGCCATGCTGGCTTTGGGGTGGGCTCATGCCCCCCACCCAGGGACAGCTTTTCCAGCCTCACCTATTCTGATCATTCAGCTCATTCTGCCACCTCAATGTGCCATCCTTCAGGACGCTGTCATACCAGATCACCAGCCCTCCTGGCACAGCGCTGTGCACCCGTGCTGTCAGGTCCTGCAGGAAGAGGGGCAGGTTCTCCACCGCCGCCGGCTGCCAGGAGAGAGAGAGAGAGACACGGGTGGGTGAGGGCACGGGGCAGGGGGCTCCCCACGGGAACAGCACAAAGGCAGGGCAGCGAGCAGGGCCAGCAGGACTCACGCTCAGCGTGTTCTCTATGTTGATCAGCCAGCCGTCGAAGCGGTAGTGCTGGGCGATGCGGGCCAGCTGCTCGGCCACGGCGCCGTACGCCTCCTCCCCGCCGGCCAGGAACGCCTCGCACAGCTTCTCCCCATCCGTCCACTCCGTGATGAATGTGCCTGCGGAGGCAGCCAGGGGTCAGCTGCACATCCTGGAGAGTCCACCTCACTGCTGGGGCTGGCCCAGGCTTAGCCCTGCCCCTACCCAGAACAGGGACGCTGTTCCGGTGCGCTGCATTGGTCCAGACCACGGGCGGGATGGTGACAGTGTGGTGGCTGAAGTAGACAAAGATGTCGATGTAGCGCCAGTGGTAGAAGACGTAGGGGTTGCGTGTGGCCGAGCCCTGGATGAACCTGCAGAGGGAAAAGGGTTGGGCAGTGCAGGAAGGACGCTGACAGACGCTGTGAAGCTGGATAGGAGCCTGACTCACAGCCAGGAGCTGGGCAGAGCTGTGGCACTGAGCCACCTCTGAACATCCCAGCCTGAGCAAGGCTCCCCAAGCACTGAGCCAAACACCCCATCCTTGCTCACCTGTGGCTGAGCCGGCAGGAGACGTGTCAGACAGAAACACAACTGCCTGGCAGTTTGAGACATTGAGCTCTGCTGTCACACCTCCCTTCCACCTTCCACCTAGCACGTACCTGTCCTCCAAGTACCCGCCACGCATGTCGTGGCACACCAGCGTCCGGGGCCTCCTGCTGAGGAGCGGGGGCTGGCGCTTGGCCAGAGGCACGGCTGACACATTGAACTCATCGTTGCTGTTGGGCTGCCAGGCCAGCAGCTCCTCCAGACCGGTCAAGAAGAAGCTGATGGGCTCCGTGGTCTTCGTGTCAAAGTACCTTGCTGGGAACAGTGGGGCGGCGGGTCAGGGTCAGCAGCGAGCCCTGCCTGTGCAGCTCGGTCCGGCACTGGCACCGGCACCATCCCCATCCCTCTCCCGGTGCCTCACCCGGCAGGGGCTGCGGGCGGTCGCTGATGGTGTCGTGCAGGACAGTGGTTCCCTGGATGTCCGCCGCCGGCTGCAAGCTGCCCCGGGAGTTTAGGTGAGGGCCGGGCTGGGCCAGCACCGCGGCCAGCGCCGACCGGGCCCTGCCAGCCCCGCCACCGTCCCCACCACCGTCCCGCTCCCGGACCCCATCCCCATCCCCATCACCGTCCCCGTCCTGGTCCCGATCGCGGCCTCGGCCCCGGCCCCGCCATCCACCTCCGCAGCCGCCGCGCCGCCCGCTCCGCCTCGGCCGGCTCCTCCGCCGCGGCCCCGGGCTCGGCTGGG